TGTTCGTGGTTTTGTAGCTAATGTAGAACAATGTTTGGGTCGCAGGGAAAGGGTTGGTAGTTGCTATGATTTTTAAGTACTTTATATGTGATGCCGAGCAGTCTGTGCATTTGGAATCCGTTGAGCTGGAGCGAGTAGATTGTTTGCATTATTTCAGCTGCGACAATGGTGGGTTTCAATACGATTGTCATTAAAGTGATAATTTGTGGTATGAGCAGGTTTAATGATTGTTGCGTTGGTCTATTAGAGTCTGCCTGGATGAAGCGTGTTATTGGGAAGTTTAGTTCTTTTCTTTTATCATATTTGGTTGTTTTATACTGGTCAGAGTAAGGATGGTGACAGTAATGGTTGTATTGAGGAAGTTCGTTTTCGTCCCTATAACAAGGTTGTTGATTTGGGTTTTCTGTGTTGTTTGTTCGCTTAGTGTTATGAATTCGAGGGGGTATAGGAAAATTTGTTGCAGGGGCTTGTGATCTCTGGGTTGATAAATTCTTTGACTCGTGGATTGTTAACAATATGGAAGTCGTCATAATATCAAAAGACGTGTTGGAATAAGTGAAGCATGTGTCTATTGTTTTTGCATGTTATTTTTCTCATGAAGTTGTATTCGTATTTGAAAAAATAAACGTTGCACCAGACCGGGGAGCAGCTTACACCCATGGGGATTCGTAGGACTTGTCTCCAAATGTTGTTTCCGAGAGAAGTGTAGGCATTGTTAATGAGCCAGTTGTTAATTTCTTCAACGATGTTGCAGTCGATGGTTAGGTATCCATTAGGGGGGTTTGTGTACCAGTCACAGGTTGGTATTCATTGATTTTTTTTATGGTAGAATCTGCAGGCTAGCTGGACTTTATTCCCGTATATTTTTTTGGCTTGTTTGAAGGCCAGTTTACTTAAGAATCGGATGGCAGCTGGTAAGCCATCTTCGTTGTTATCCATAGGTATAGTTTCGTAGCAGCGTGTTATATCTGCAGAGAAAACAGATGTGATTTTTTCCGGTAGGTTATATGCATAGTCAGGCGTAGAGTTGATTGGCCACCAGTAGAGTACTTTCAGACCTGTTTCAGTGAGGGTTTTTTTAGTGAGTTCACCACAATGTGTTTTTACCATTTGTATCAAGGCATTGAGCGCAGCAGAAGTTAGGTCTCCGAGTGGAGAAGATATCACATCTGCGGCATTTGTGAGCCATCGGAACGAGTTTTTATATTTTTTGTATGTTGCAAACGGGTACGGTAGTTCTTTTTTTCCAATCGGGATGTCTGGGAATTTCGCGGATAGTTGTTCTTCGATTCGTTCAAGCAGGTATGAAGTCTGGATGTTGTGAGGTTCAAAGTCAAGGCTAGACAGTCGTTGCAGGGCGAGGAATTTGATGAGATTGATGCAAGTGATAACGGGTGTGTTGGGTGCCTTGTCTGCACCTGAGATGTAAAAGTGTTTGTTTAAGAAGTTTACTTCGTGTTTCATTGCATGATCGTTCATATTAGGTGCTTTATGTAGCCGTATAGTTTTGAGGTTATTTGCGATGATTTTGTCGAAATCTTCTTTTGCTTTTGTTTCTTGTTGATTGCTGAATGGTGTTGCGTGCTTTTGGAGGGTTTGTGTGAAGCGCACCTAGACATGCTGTGTTGCTGTTATGATGTCTTCTTCTTTGGGAGTAGCAGGAGGTATATGGTTCAGTCCTTTTTTCACAAGGTTTTTTCATTTTTTATTTTCGATTATTTATAGGTCGAGTGTTGTCACGTGTGGTGGTTCTTGTTGTGGTAGGAGGTCTGTAGGTAGGATATTGGTAAAACTGTTGTATCTTGGGTGATGGCAAAAGCATATTTCGGGGAGTTGCTTAGCCCATTCTGAGAGGTTGAAGTCGCGGAATACAGCAGCAGGTTTATAAAGGGTCTTAGCATCATGGTTATCATATGTCCTAGAAAAGGTGAGTTTTTCAAGTGTAGGTAGGGCATTCGGGTTGTGTTTCAGGAGGATGTTTTAAAAAAAAAATTAAATTTAAATCGTTTCATAAGTCGGTTAGCGTAGTGGCATGGGAGGTTGTGTTTTTCCGGGTCTTTCATAGCTCTCCAGCCAAGTCTTCCGTCCTCCATGATCTGGAGTCGTTGTGCCTTCACATACAAATAATGTCCATAATGTAAGCAGTGTATGTTAAGGTGGCAGGGTGGGGGGAGTAGGGCCAGGGGGGAAGAGAGAGAGAGAGAGAGAGCAGCAACAGGAATGTTGGCAGGAGGGTGTAGGAGGTGGTCAGGTCGTCAAGGGAATGTAAGGAGTTTAGAGAGAGTTTTGCTGAGACAAAAATGAGGAGGACAAAAGTATGTTAAATTTGCAAGAGCAAAATAACATCAATCACATTTTATTTATTTTTCGGTCCTATATCAAAAATTGCTAAGTCTCATGACCAAAATTATTTGGTTATGTAAAAAATTGATTACCTGTTCTGCATTCCATACGACGGACTGGCGGACAGGTTTATGCCTGTTTACTAAGGGAGTGAGCTTCTAGTGCTTCAGACCGTATGTGCTAGTAAGGGGGGAAAAAACCTAGCTTCTAGCAATCTCAGATAAGCCAAACAGATAGTCCGGGCCGAGCCTCGTGCATACTCTTTTTAATGATTCTACGGAGCCTTGTGAATCAGTATCTACTGCACTATGGTCACTGTAGGTTCTTAGCAGGGACGAGTCTGCACTGCTCGCCCCGTAGTTCGTACGAAGGGCATCTATTGCAGAGACAGGTCGTATCGGAGTATCCGGAGATGGGGAGCCAACCGTAATCGGGCCCTGTGGTCTTTCGCCTTCGACACTCTCGTTGCTGCTAACATGGATGACCTCAGGGTTGGCTGGAGCTGCATGTAGCCGAGAAGGTGCCTGTTGTGTCGGACCTTGTGCCCATTGCTCAACGAGTTGCCTGGCGGGCAGAGTCCATCCTTGTCGGGTGGTCGCGACAGAGCCTCTGATGAGGGCATTTACTGCAGTGGTGATTGATTCGTGCTGGGGCAGTACCTGGGCCGGCTGCATGATTGTCAGAGATGCCTGTCTTTCCGCAGTGTTTGCCTGTCATTGTTGTTGTGCCTGTAGCACATCGTGCATGTCAGGTTGCCTCTGGTCATACTGGATGCGCTTGCGTCTTGATTGCTTTGCACCTTGCCTGCTTCTTTGTGGTGCTTGGTTCTTTTTCGTCTTGTTGCCTCGTCTAGTGTTGGCTCTCTTCGGCGTGGGTAGTGGGTTCATGGCGATGCTGAGCAGCTGTTCTCGTCTTGGTGCCTGCCTTTCTGCATCCGTAAGGGTGTTGTTATGCATGGGGGGAAGGGTTGTGAAGAGGAGATTGGTTGATGTCATGACTGTAAGTCCGTTTGGCCGTGCGGTGCTGTCGGAAAAGTGTGCGGTGCGATTTGCAGTATGCATGGGTTGTGCAGTGGTGTTGGTTGTGCAAGCATTAGTAACAAACATTCTGGGGGGTAGTGTCGTGTGGGGTGTTGCAGCAGCATTGGCTGTGTCGTGTTGGGTGTGCATGTTAGCCACGTCTGGGTAGTGCCATCTGGTACCATGATTGGGGGTTGTCGCCGTATTACTATCTGCATTGGGTGGTGTTGTGTGGTTGGTTGCAGTGTGTGGGCCAGGGAGGGTGGTGGTTTGTGAGTTGTGAGTGTGCTGCAGTGTTGAACTTGCGGGAGCGAGGGTGGTTGGGTTGAAACTGTGATGGGGTGTCGTGACGGTAGCAGCGGGGATGTGCTGTTGCGTGCAACTAGACTGATGTTGTGCGGAAGAGGCGACATGAGTGGTAGTGCGGGACAGAATGGTGTTTGGTGTGTTGGATGCAGGGTGTTGAAATGCTGGTGTACCGGTAGCATTGGGCGGAGATGTTTGCAAAGGTTGCGGGGTTTCTGTGAGGACTGTCGGGGAGGGGGTGGTGAGGGGTGTGGTGGCGGCAGGGGATGTCCCAAGTCTCATCTTTCTGCATCTTCGGAGCGAGTTGTCTCCGTCTTCAGGGAGCGGGCGCCTTCTGTTTATTGTCTGGGCTAGCAGGCCTTCCGGGTTTGGTAGCAGAGTAGTGATAAACTTGTGCACGAAGGGGACGTCCTTGAAGTCTTCAAACTCGAGGATTCCTTCTACCGTAATTCTTCGGTTCTGAGCGATGAGATGCATGATCTTCATCATGTATTCTCTCATGAAGACGAATGAGACTTGTGCAAGAATGGGCTTCTTCCAAGTTGTGCGCATCAGTGCTTGGAACTACAACATCCTAATCCTGTCAAAGGGCGCATGCGGGTCCAGCTTGTCCAGGTTTCCGATCACGTACCACAACATGTGGTCGAACCAGGTGAAGCTCTTCTCGCATCCTTGACCCTCACACTTCAGGTAGGGTCTTCCTACGTTCCACAACTTCTTTAGCTCGGGCAGGTCGATCGGGAACTTCGGGATGCCCTTCTGATGCAACAGCGGCTTCTTGGGGCACCTTTCTTTCTCCATTTTGTAGATCAGGAGAAAATCGGCGTCAAGACCCGCTCTGCCTGCTGGGAAGTGGATCGTGCCATTCCTAGCTGCGGTGCGGCAGTTGTCAATGTCTGTCGTGCATAGGCCGGCTAGTGCCATGTAATATGCTTCTACGCTGATAGGTGCTGCATACTTGAAAGTGTCCAGCTTCCATAGGCAGTTATGCACACGCTGGACAGCTTTCTCAGTCCATATGCTAGATGCGAGTGGTAAGAACGGGTTGTTCTTGGCAAACTTATGACATGCATCTCTGCCTATGGAGGTGACATCAATGTGTGCATTGTCCCTCCTCTCTGCTTCCTTTCTTCTGAGGACTCAAGTTCCACCGGAGTAAGCAAAATTCTGCTGATATATGAGTCAGAGAATGTTTCGCTGCTCTCTGCGGTTGAGACTTGTTCGGCGGTGTCGAGGTGTAAGGCATCATATCCATGGATTTCAAGGATGATTTTCTCGGCTTTTGCGATGATCAGACTAATCTCTCTGTTTTCGATTGCAGACTTGTTGCAGACCTCTACGATGTTGCTGGTGAATTCTCGAATCTTGCTATCCAGATCTTGAGGTCTGGTATGCAAGACACAGACAAGCGAGGCCCAATCACTAAAGGAGAGGTTCTCGATTAAGAACGGGGCTTGGCCGTTCATTGCTTCGTGGACTTGTAGAAGGACGTCAGCAGGAATGGCTAATATGGCAATTTGACAGTGTACATTGGGTGGCTTCAGCTCAGAGAAAGGCCTAATGTATGGGGCCAGTTCTGGGTGTCATCCCATTTTGATGTTGTCTTCATTCTGCACGTTGTAAAAGAGCGAGGAGGAGATTAGTTTTGTAAAAACGTTTTTTTTGCTAATCTTGGTTTTTAATTTTATTTTAATTTTAAGAAGATGAAGCACGGGGCAGGGTTGGGCTATCATATTATGTTTATGGTCAAGTTTGTATGCGCATTTTGGTTGAGTATTTTTAACTTTGTTTTTTAGGTGTACTATTGGGTGGGTGAAAAGGCAGATTTTTTAATCTATATATATATATATTTTAATATTTTTTATTTATTATTATTATTATTTTTTTTTAATATTTTTATTTTATATTTTATATTTTTTATATTTGATATATATATATATATTTTTTTTTTTTAATTTTTAACTTTTAATTTTGTTTTTTTCTAATTATGTATATAAAGTTAAACTTTGAAGTTTAGTCATTACATTGGTAGGGTTAGTTTTTTACTTACATTTGGTTATCACAGACTTTTTTAAGTGTGTACAGATTGGTGGGTCATGTTCAGTTTATAGGTCGAGTATGCAGTATATTTATTTTAAGCATGACTTTAGCAATTTCTGCTGTTGTTATTGAATCGGTGTACGTGCGGGGGAGTGCTGTATATAACTTCTCTCGGTGTGCGGTTATCTATAGTTAGCCTGTATATGCAGGGGAAAAGTTTTTTCGATGTTATCTTTTGGTATAGGGAAGGGGGAATCGTTGTCATTGTGTCAAGGGTTTTGTTCGTTGTTCTGATGGTTTTACTTAGTTGAGAGAGGTGTGTATATTTACATTATTTTATGTGTAGACAATTTAGGGGTTACGTTCGTTGTTATCCGAGGTACAGGCTTGTTTTAGGCCAGTTTGGGTTGTGAGAAATATATATGCGCGCCCCTTTTTTTTAAAAAAAGGAAAAATTTGGTTTTCTTATTTCTCCTTGGTGTTATATTCGTATGTTAGTTTGTTATTGGTTATTTCTAGATCTGGTTTCATTATCTTGGTTTTGTAAGGCTTTACGTTTTGTCACTTGTGTAGTTTTGCATGGGGGGTTAGGTTTTCTTAGTGGAAGGGGGTTGCGAGTATCAATTATTGCATGAGTGGCTATAGGGACGGCAGTTCATTGCATAGGTCATGTGATTTGCCTTACGCTGCTCTGTTGTGTTTGTATCGCTGCGCTTAGTGTATGGGCATATTATATGGACATGTTACAGTGGTTGGTACGTGGTAGTTGAGTGGCTAAAGGCCTATAGGTGGGGAGGACAGGGGGGTTACTTGGAGAGTGGTGGGGAGAGGGAAGGAAAGAGATCGGTAGAGGGGGAGAAACGAGAGAGAAAGAGGGAGAGCGAGAGAGAGCAAGAGGGTGAGAGTGAGAGATCGGGGGCGAGAGCGAAGCAACGAAGGCGCCGGGGAGAGGAAGAGAGGGGGGGA